CCCTCCTGTCTTTTTACAATCCGCTGGGCAAAGCGCTCGGTTGCATGCGTTTTTCCCCGTTGGAGCTACTCCCAATAAACTTGTTCCTCTCGTCACTGCAAGGACCACCTCCCCTTCTCACTACTACCGAACCGACTGGTGAAGCAGAGGAAGAAACCATCATATCAGAGAGTCATGGTCCTATCTGTCTACACCAGAAATCCTCTGCTGCTCACTCTCGGCGGGGGGGGGGGGGGGACTAATCAATGCGTAATGGTAGTCTAAGTAGGCGGCAGCTCCGAAACCTCAAGTTAACGCTTATGTTTGTGTGTTTCCTCCCTCTGCACACAGTCAGCACTCACAATTCAACTAACCCCAACTGTATACTAGCGTGTATGATGCAGCGATTATGGTGGAAATGTTTAAATAAGGTGGCTTCATTTCTGTGTAGATCGTAATGAATTTTGGCTTCCTCTGGCCACATTAATGCACAAAGTCCTTTGAAGTTTTCCTGCTTGTTTCTTTCGAAAAATCCCTGATACAGAGAATAAAAACAACCATTATAATACCACTCAGTTTGGGGAGTTGATATTGTTGTTTGTTTTACGTATTAAAACTCTTACGCATGGTTTCTTGGCGAAATTTATTGACTGCAATATAAGCTATTGGGATTTTTTTTCCCGAAGAGAAACAAATATACGGGTTTGAGATCTGCAAGAAATCGTGATCAATATGGTTTCTTGGATTGCATCGTTCTGTGGTGCTGTTCAACGGAGTTACACGGCTTTAAAGGTCAACATCATTGGGCAACACTGTTCTACTGACATTTTCCAAAATAACCATAATCAATGAAATGTCTCTTGTGTTCCATAACACAACACTGGCATCTCCGGGGGGGTTCGAGACAGCTGCGTCCACTGTGTTGCTGCGTGGACCACGCTGGGCTTCAGATCCACGTATTAGGAGATTTCATTAACAGATTTCGGTCCCGTTCAGTTGTTTTTTTTTTTTTTTTTTTGGTTTTCAGCACCATGGACAGCACCAGAGCTTTCTGCAGATGTCACGTGCCTCTGTGTGCGCAGGTTAAGGTTTCCTGGCATGTTTCACACTGAAGTCAGTCAGCTGTAGATCTTCTCCAGCTTCAGCTAAACACACAGGGGTTCAGAGTCATGGTTAAGTACACACAGCTGCTAAGCTTCTAGAAAATGGACGTTGTCTTTGACCATTAACCCAGAATCCCAGCCTGAACCGAAATGAGGTGTAGACTCAAGATCTGCTGCAGCTGTTGCTCTTATCCAAAGTACTGTACTGTAATTTGCTGCAAGGGAGAAGGAAGGGCCACAGTGTCTTGCTCAAGCACAGTTTAACAGTATAATGCTGCTGATGGACACATTTGATGTGGCACCAGTCAGACCTGTGGCGTTTTGCTTTCCAGATCTTCAGCCAGTACGCTACATTCATACCCAGCCTCTGGTCCCCTCTGGCACAATGCTGAGTTTTTGTAGGATGAATGCACAGGACTGTCAGAAGTCCCATTAGTGTATGCTGAGCATGTCAGAGCACACTCAGTGTTCAGTTTGAGCAGTCAGGCCCAGGGGCTATGTATTCATCAGGGCATTTAAATATTCCAGCGGTTGCCAAATGGCACCAAACACAGGCGTCCCAGCTGAGCTGGATGCCAGACTAGCTGCAAGCTTGTCAGAGCACAGATAGCCACTGTGTTTAAATTTAAAAGGTAGTCAAAGTGGTTATTTAGCATTTACATATCCTGTAATTTAAGTAAAGCAGAGCGGTTTAACTGAATTTTGGATATTTCTGACAAAACATGGTAATATTTGGTTGTGTGACAAATTGAAAATAGATGTCAGTTTTCTGTCTTTTATTTCTTACATATCCATTTTCCTTGAATTTGAAAATTCTCAAAAACATTACAAGATCTTTCAACAAGTGAAACCAATATCCTGTGGTCTTTAAATAAAATCCCATCAGAGTATACCAACAGATACACAATATAGTAGTCATTTTGTATGGTGGTGGTCTGTGCTGTGGTGGGATGGTCCGAATGACATCATCCAAGGTGCTGACACACTTTATGAACACGCTCCATCCCAAGAAGTTCCAAGGTCATTTCAGATGATTGGTGTTGACACAGAGCTGTGCAGATGATTTAATTACATCGTCTGTGTGTTTATGGATTTACTCTTTGGATCAAATAATTAGCATCTGTCCTTAACAAGGTTGAAGAACTCATCCTGCATTTTTTTGGTATTTTGAGGGGACATCAGTTCAAAGATGTTAACCACTGATCTGGATGTATAATAAATGGGTAAATTAAATTTGGTCAGTGGCTTTCAGTAATAGTAATACATAATCAGGCTTTTGTCCTGTCAAGCCAGATATTGCCTGATGACGTTCTTTTACCACTGAAGTGATGTTGAAGCCTTGGGGATTAGGTTGTGTAACAGGATACATTTTGTAAACAGGTCCTTAAGTGTGCTCAGTGTTGTAACGCAAAGGCATGAACCCAAAACAAACACTGACTGTCCTTTGGACCCTCACACGCAGAACGGCATCTTTTTTGCATTCGATCCATTGACAGTAACAGTCTATCTGTCCACTGTAGTACACTAGTGCAGCTCTCACTGCGGCCTGTTTTTTGTATTCTATATTTAGTCAGGTCCAGCTCAGTGATTGAGATGATTAAACAGATGAGTCCCCTTCACTGGAGACGTGCCAGGGCTTGTTAAGGAAGAAGTGAAGGGGCAGCCGCTATTTGATTCGGGTCATCAATAGAGAAACTCAAAATATTTGAAACTATTGAAGCGATTTTGTAAGTTTAAGCCAGAAATAACATGCGAGCAGAATGAATCATCTACAGTACAAATATTTGCTTCAATGCCTACAGTACAATGCCTTTAAAGACAATCATATAGGCTTGATGTTCTGCACCGGGTTGATAGGGGGATGGAGGCCTAGTTTAACCTCATCATAAACTTTATTTTTATGGAGCATTTCAACGAGATGCAAAGTTCATGAGAAGCGATAAAAGGGTAATAAATAAAAAGCCAATATGATAAGCAGTAAAAATCCCAGAAAGGAAGAAAAAGGTTAGATACGGATAAAACAGGCAAATTATATGCAGTACCCTATTTCAGGCCTGGAAACACCCTGGCATGTTTTATGACATGCTGCTAATGAAGTCATGAATCGTCCTCATGACCTCTGGGCACAATGACATGCTGATATCCGCAGGTGAACGGCCCACAGCTACCACACAGCCCAACCTCCAACCACGTCATCTCCCTCAGCTGCTTCTGCCTTTTCTCGGCTCTAATGAGTTATTGACCCCCTGCGGATGTGTAAAATAGAGTAGGTCTTCTTGTTTCTTTATTGCATATGGCAGCTGGTGTGTTTGTGTCTGCATCTCTGTGTCCACGTGTGTGTGTACACATGCATGCAGCCATGTGTGAAGCTATTTATACGTGTGTTATAAATGTGTGTGTGTGTGTGCGCTATGTACTGCAGGGAAGGGGAGGCTGATGTTTGTGCTTGAGGACTGTATGACTAGTTTTATCCCTGTCAGGATTGCAGGGATAATCTGTAATTTAACAACTGCTGCTTGTCAGAACGCTTCAAATAAGCCATATGGGAATGTGTGGTTCACAGCACTTGTAATGCTACCTGTGTGGTTTTTTTTAGAATTAAAGTGTGTAACGTTAAGATCTATTGGCAGAAATGGAATATAATATTCACAGGTATGTTTTCATCAGTGTATAATCACCTGACAATAATAATCATTGTGTTTTCGTTACCTTAGAATGAGCCATTTTTATTTACAGAGGGAGTTTTTCATCTATGGAGTCCGCCATGTTGAAGTTTCTACAGTAGCCCAGAAGGGTAAACCAACCACACAGTGACTCTAGATAGGGCCTTTTGCCTTTTTTGTGAGTTTCGTAAGCCACCATATTTTCTCCTTAGCGCTTGAGGCCAATAAATCCTACACACCAGACCTTTAAAGGCATATTAAGTTTTGTTCTTCTCTCTCCTCTGACACTAGAGACAACTAAATATGTTAAAGCCTACGTAAGTAGCACCAATACAGGCTGGCAAAACACACAATTTCTGTTTAAATCTGGCCTTACTTATTATATCATTCTATCATTTATGTACAATACATTCTGGATGGGAAACAATGAGTGTTCCACCCACTAGCGCTTTTTTAATTGTTTTTCACCTTGCTCCTTCGCACTGTGTCTATAGGGAAAGTAGCTCTCGTCATCTGGTGAAGAGGTGTAGAAGGGATTAGAAGAGAAAGGGAGGTGTCTGTCAGTGTGAGTGCTTGTGCCTATAGCTAAACACATACACTGCAGCATGTGTCTAGGGTTTTGAGAACGCTTCAAGTACAGCACATCACTGCAAGATCAGCCACGAGTCCCTTAGCTAACACTGGTACATCAGCTGGAAAATGCACAGCGCTGCCATGAAGATACACTGAATCATGCCTTACCCCACCTTGCCTTGTCAGTTCAACCGTGTAGTATTGCTTTTGGCCTTGTAGCAGTGCATAAAATACAGATGTGTGTTTCTCTCATGGTGTGTAATTAAAAACCAAAGACAGCATGGCACCCAACTGGCAAACCCTCGTTGAAATAGTAATTCTTTTCCAAGGACATTGCATTGTTTACCCGCCTCATCTGTTGAACACAATCCCCATTGCGGAGGTGCTGAGCAGATGCTATGTGAACATCTAAACAAAAGACTTTTAACAGGTTCACACTGTCTGTGCAGCAGCAGCCCCAAATTGAAATGAAGCTGTGGCAAGTGTTAAAACCTTTATGTTCCTGCTGCTTCTGTGCACTGAAGTGATGACTTAGGAAAGACAGAAATTAGCCGTAAAGTTCATCAGATCGGACAT